TTACCTTCGTGTGACTGTTTGATTAATACCTCTACTAATAGGCATATAATAGATACCTATATGTAATTGTTGAATGGATTTGATTTTAATTTTGAGAAAAGATTGTATTTATTTTTTTTTAGAGAAAGTGGAAATGAAGGAGAAAGAAAGGGAGAGAAACATCAACGTGTGGTTGCCTCTTGCATGCCCCCAACTGAGGACTTGGGCCCGCAGCCCAGGTTTGTGTCCCGACTGGGAATCGAACCTGGAAACCTTTGGTTCACAGGCCCATGACCAGTCCACTGAACTACACCAGCCAGGGCTGATTTTGATTTTTTAAACATTATGGCCTTTTTGGCTATATAGACCTGGATCAAAATCCCAATGCCAGTACCTGTTAGCAACGCAAATTTAGGCAAATTAACCATTTGGATCGTAATTTCCCCACCTGTTGAAAATGGGTCTGACAGTAATTAAACTTATTCACAGGACTGTGGAGAAGGTTAGATGAAGCAATATATTTATTGTACATACGCACATCATGTGCTCCTTACATTTTAATCTATCTTTTGCATTCAGGTTTTCTGTCAGAGTTAGCAAACATTATGATTTGCCACAAGAGGGCAATACTAAATGGAAATAGCAATTTATGCCTAAAAACCAAACCAAACCGAACCAAAAAACTTCTGGAAATCACATAATTCATCTTTCTCTCTTTCTCTCCTTCCCTGTCTCTATCTCTAGCTCCTTTTCTTCTCTGGGTAAGTGTAGTTAGTTGAGGAGGGTTTCATACTTAGAATTCTGCTTTCTTCCTGCATCCTGTTCTTTAGAAGTCTATCATCATAATAAAACCTTAGCTCTAGAAGGGGCTTTTAAAGTCCTATTGTCACATGGAATACATTCCGCCCTCTGTAGTTATTCCCGCTCTCCTGGTTAGCGATCTCGATTTGCTGCTCTCCTTGGCACTTCTGTTAAACTAAACCTGACACCCCTGAGTGCTAGTGCTGCAGGTCTCTCCCCTAGACAGCATCTCTCAGTCACACTAACTTTACCCCAGACTTAGCATGGGGAGCCAAGCCTATTTACATTTATTCTAAGAAGAGAATACGTTTCAGTTATGCAGCCTTAAATCTTAGGGAGTTATGTTGGATTCTTCATCCATGCAGTCTCGGAGTATGTTTTCTTTCCTGTATTTAATCTGTTTACTGCCCATCTCTCCCCTGTTCTCGTGGCTACCTCCCCAGAGCCTCTTCTCATCTCATCTCTCAGCCATTTGCCTGATGGTCTTCCAACCATTGCTCTTTATTCCATATCTTGGATGATAAGCCCCTGGAGTCAGTACATTCACACGATGTAGACTATGTTCTCTGCTCTTTCTAGAAAAGGCTACCATGTCATGCGCCTGGACAAAGTGAAGTTCCTTTTTTAACCGAAGCTACATTTATCGTGTGTCTGTGTTTCATGACAACAGCAGAAAGGACGATGGCAGAGTTGTATCCATTGGAGAGGAGCTCTGCTATCAAATTTTAGCTGCAAGAAACAATGTTAGCAAGTCACGTGGGCCACTGTCACTAGTGCTATGACACATATGCTTGCCCATATAGAATGCAATGTTATACGTCAACCAATCTGAGAAGAATCATGTGGAACCCAAAAAATGTGCTTAATAAAGCAGAATAAATCTCCGTGGATGGGCTTGATAACAATCTCCTTTTTTGGTTAGCCGAAGAGTATCTTAGAAACTCTTTCGATTAAAAAATTTGTGTAGGTTCAAAGGGTTTTAAAAACAAATCTGATTTTTACATCTTTGTTTCTCTTATTAATAATAAAATCATCTCAGTGAAATAATTCAGCCACAAAGGACAAATGTTGTGTGATTCTACTTATATGAGTTACCTAGAGCCATCAAATTTGTACAGATAAAAAGTAGAATAGCGGGTACCGGGGACTAGGGGAGGAGGGTATAGGAAGTTGCTGTTTAATGGGCACAGAGTTTCAGTTGGAGAAGATAAATGTATTCTGGAAATGAATGGGGATGGTTGTTGTACAAAAGTGTGAATATACTTAATGCCACTGAATTGTACACTTAAAAACATGTAAAATGATAAATTGTATGTTATGTGTATTTACCACAATAAAAATGTCTCAAGGTATTACATTGTATATTTTGTTCATGTGGGTTCAATATTATTTTTCTAGACTTGATGTCAGGTTGAACTAGAATGGTACAAAAACTTCTTTCAAGGCACATGCTTTGAGTACCCGCAGGTGGAAATGCGAGTGGCGGTGGTCACTCATGTCTTCTCACTGTAGGAAGGACTGAAGGGTCCACTCGGTCTTCTGGGAAGCATCCACCCTCTGTTTCGTCATTCTTTACCAGGCCTGGACTTCGCCTCACAGTCTGAGCCTGGAAGGCCTAAGTCTATAAAACTAACTAAAAAATGATAATAACAACCTAACTGCAACACTTACTGAGTATATATTAAGCATCAGGCTTAATTGCTGGACATGATCTAGGTCAAGAAAAAGGTTTGAGGCAGATATTTACAAATATATATTAATTTACTCTGCCCGACTCACTATTTTGCTCTTTAAAAGAAACAAAGTCCCACACATCCCATTTCAGAATTACGAAAACAAACAGACGTTTCTCTGTGCTGGTAACCATGCCAAAGCGTGTGTCAGCCAATAACATTTGTGAGACTCACCACGCAGCCGACAGGGACACATACTGTGAAGGGAAAGTTTTTGGAGAGGCTACATTTCAATCCATTAAAAAAAAAAAAGCTTCCCAGTATAGGCACTCTTTTATTTAGAAAGCCTGTTCTCAGAAAGAATCTGGTTTAGTTCTTATGCTGGGAAAACAACAGTTCAAAACTGCCCGTAAATCTACCTCAAAGCAAAGCCATTTTTGGTGTCTCTCAAGTAGCTGAGTTAATGCGGCATAAGACAAAGCCTGACTAGCAGGTATAATTAAAGGATGAATCACTGGGGTAAGTCATGAGTAACCCTAAAGGCACCTACAGGGAAAAAGTCCATTACAACATATTAAATTTTAGAGGCTAAAGGATGAAGGGTAGGAGGAAAAATGCTTATTCCACGCGAACGAAATGAAGGGCCTTAGAGGAAACAGGGCGATGAGGCCATCAGTGAATTATCGGCACAGAGACCATCTTGCCTCAGGTGACATGGGCGCTGGTTCTCCACGTTTTCCAGAGAACTGCTTGAGGTCAGGTAGTATGCTTTGCTTTATTTATCTTTCCGTATAAGTCACAGGTCTGCCCAGATCCCAGTAATGTAGACAGGAGGTAGAAAGCATGCAGTTCCACACATGAATGGGTAAATGACTACCCATGCCTACAGTAAATCTGTCCTACACTTTTAAAGAAAAATGAAAATTGACATCCAGCACAGTGATATTTAACGAAGTGGTATTTAACAGAGACTGTTGATGCATTTTTGAAGACTTAATCACAGGACTTTTATTTAATGAAAAACAGGAAGGAATTATTTTATTTTATCCTGTTTCATATCTCAGCAACTGGCACTGCAGTTAGTTTCTTGGAACAGTGACATGGCAGAAGTTGAAAGGAAACTGTTTGTTTGGCCTGACTGGTTTTTTGCCTTTTGGCTGAGCGATGAATAGATAAAATCAGCTCAGGTGGAAAACAGCTTCGCTGCTGCTGTGTCGCTCCATTAACTGGGAAATAGTAGCTGGCCTTGTGCCTCCACTCCCACCCGCCACCCAAATGAAGAGTATTTCACTGACAGGCTCACGTTAGACACTTGGAGTTAAAATGACTCAAAGCGTGAGTGGCCATTGTGCTAACATTTTGAAGTCTAACCTCCTGGGAAGGTCTTTAAGTCTGATTTTCCTGGCTCAGAAGAATTTAAATCAAAGCCATCAAATACACTGCTTACATCATCTTATCTGTCTTGGTTTAAGGTTTACGTGCTATTTTTAATGTTTATGTGTACTTAAAAAAACATTTGAAACGAACAGTCTTGACTGACTCTGAAACTTAATTGGGAAAAATGCCAAGCACTTTCATGGAATTTTTCCCATGATCTGTAGAAGTCCACCCCCAACCCCCACAGATGGTTCAAATGGACAAAGCAGTGAAGACAGAAATTCAAAGCAGATTCTTAAAGAAAAATAACCGGGTTCTCAGAAACCCGGTAGATGATGGAAGGACTGGATGCAATACAGCAGTTTCTCTTGGTGTCAAGCTCTGGAGAGAACAGAAATTTATCAGGTGATCCTCTACCAGAGGAGGGTGACTGCCTCTTTGTGGAAATGAACTATTCACGTAGAACGCCAGTCAACTTCAACAACTGGAAAATCTGCACGCTTGTAGGGCAGTTCCGTCCAGCTGCCTATAAAAGACACAGTATTGTGAGGCAAATAGGTTTTCTTCCTGGCGGCAGGAGCACCTAAGTCTGCGGTGGGTATTTGGGGTATGGGGAATACCCCAAATCTTCCCACCTTCACAGCTGCTTGGAAAAACAATAAACACCCCCAGGCCTATGAAGCTTTCAATTTGAATATAAAACCCCTGTTTTTCTTGGATCAATGAAATGAGCAACGGGAAAGAGACCGGAAAACTTTTCAACCTGGAATTTATATGCATTCAGTGGAGATGTGTCAAGCAAAATCTAAACTAATGTTTAAAGTATAGCATCTTTCCACCAGGTTTCAAAATGAGGGCTGGTTTCTCTGGCAAAGGATTCTAGGGAGTGGGGTGGTGAGGAAGAGAGGTAAGGGGAAGTATGTTGGGAGTCTGAGAAACTTCTGGTAGAATGGAGGACCCAACGTGCCACCGCGGGCTACAAGGAGCTGGGGGCCCGGCAGGGGACAGAGTTAACTTCCAGAGCGCGGCCAGGAGCGCGATCCCTCCGCAGCAGCGCGGAGCCTGGGAGCGAAGTGCGGGCGGTTGGGTGGGGGAAGGAGGGTGAAGGAGAGAAGGGGCGGGGTGGCGCGGGGGTGGGGGCGCGGAGGCAGGAGGAGGGTCTCTGACCCTGGGTTGGATTTGCGAGCTCTCTGAGCTTGCGTCCGCGGAGGGGGAGGGTTTCCCCAGCCCCGCCGGAGTGGCGGCTGGGCGCTTCTGTCTCACTACACAAACGACTGTCAAGAGAGGAGAGAGTGGAGCTGCCGGAAGTGTCTGCGCGCCGGGGAGAACTTTCCTGCTCCTGCCGGGGCCCGGAGTCTCCGCCGCCAGGGTGCTCGCAGCGACGATGTGCGGCGATGACAACACCGTAAGCGGACCCGCGCCTCGGCCCACCCACGGTGTGTGCGCCAGCTTGGCCTCAAGAGAAGACTGAGTCCGGAGGTGTCCGCGCGCCACGGGAACCCGGCGCAGGCGGCGGGGCGCGCGGGGCCCGTTTCCTCTGCGCGGTCCCCTCGCTTCCCGGCGCGTTACTTGCGATCTCGCGTCCCAGAGCCGGTCACGGTCGCCGACTGCCCCCGCCCTGACTGCCGGCCCGGACGTGTCCCCGGCGGCCGCTGGCAGTGCCTGTGCCATGGGGCTGCCTACTCTGGAGTTCAGCGATTCCTACTTGGACAGCCCGGATTTCAGGGAGCGCCTCCAGTGTCACGAGATTGAGCTGGAGCGGACCAACAAGTTCATCAAAGAGCTGATTAAGGATGGCTCTCTGCTTATTGGGGCCCTGAGGAGTAAGTAGAGCTGGCGCGGGAGGGTGGAGAGGGCGAGAGGATCTGGAGTTTCCCCACGGGGTGCGGGCTGAGGAGTGGGATGGAGGGGAAGGAGCTTCTTTTGTTTGAATGGGTTTGGGGACAATAGCTGAAGAGCTCCCCTGCTGGTTGCCAACAAAGTTTGTGCTTAGGTGCTCTTGACCACCATGCCTTCGGAGAAGGGAAAAGTTTTCTAATAAACACTGTAAGGCATCCTGGATAAAGTTGTTAAAAAGCCATCTTTTGTATAACGTTCCTGGAAAAAAACGTTGGGGACTATTGGTCTTTTATGGGTAATTTGAGCACTAAAAAATCCTTAAGGAAGTATTGAAGAATTTGCCCGACAGTAAAACGAAGCTAATCTGTTTAGTGATATTCACAGAATATGATTATTTTCTTATGTCTATCAGTAGCTCTTCCTTGGACACAATCAAGAGCTGGCTTTAAAAAAAATATGTAGTTTTGCCATTTAGTAAGATGATGGAAGACAACCTGGGCCAGTGAACTTTATCTCTTTACAAGTTATTGTGCAAGTTAACTTTTGGTTTACGTTATAGTTCTGGTGGTGGTGGTGGTGGTGTGTCACCCAGGATGCGCGGTCAGTGGCCGAAGGCCAATGGGATCTGATCTTCTACAGGAAGTAAAGAAGACCCTGGGGGCCTTTCCCACCTCCTGTCCCGCACACCTCCTGACGGGGATCTCCACTTTTAATTACTGAGACCTAAGAAAGATTTAGGAAAAGGAACTTCAGAGTCTGTCTTGTCGATGATTAAGTGGCTAATGGAGAAAGATTAACTCCTTACCTTTAGGGTATATTTCCATCTTAACAGAGGCTTCTGAATGCTTTAGCCTCTGAAAATAAGTCCTGGAATCTCTGGCCTCTGAGGGCTGGTGAGTGCAGTATTTTCATGAATTGGAGAGGCTTTTGGATGATCTGGCAGTCCTAGTCCCCAGGACATATGTACAGGATGCATCATTGTATATGTAAAGTTCAAGGACAGTAACAGCATGATGGGGATATGTGTGTGCCGGCAAAAGACATTAGCATGTATTCATGTAAGGATGGAGTTTAGCAAAATGTGTTGAAATTAGTGTGCTTCCAGCTCCTTCTTTATTTTAACCATCCCTAGAACTAGAATATTTACTTATCACTTATGTTACTTAACTGAGTAAAGAAAGTATTTTTACATCCACATTCACTTAATTTCTGAATCTGAGCCTACTATTGATAACGGTATGTACCGATTTGTGAGAAATACAATTTATCTGCAGTTCTTTCCATCCTGTGTATAGACAAATGTGAACTCTCCTTCTTTTGGGTTTGCAAATCCTGCTTCGGGTCTTGGGACTAGTCTCTGCCTCTTAATAGACCACAATGCTTCTTCAAAGTTTCCTCATCTCAGAGTGCTAAATGCTCAACCAACTCTTGCCAGAGATGCCAAATAGTGTACACATGACATTTCTCTTTACTGCTCATGATCAATTTTAGTGTTTCAGAAGTTGAAAATACATACATAGCTATGATAAAACCTATGAAATGTACATTATTTTACAAGTAACATTATGTACTTTATGATGATTTTGAATCTAGCCTTGCAAAAATCAGGGTATTTCCATCCTTACCGATTTGTTCTTTCATTTCTGTAAGTGAAGACGTCTTGAGAGTGTAAGGTCCTCAAACGTACAAATCCTTAGGTTTGTGATGAGATTGAGTTCCAGTCATGTGCTGTGTACAATGACGTTTCTGTCAACAGTGGTGGGGTCCCAAGATTATTATGGAGCCAAAGAATTCCTGTGGCTAGTGACGTAGTGGCCGTCCTCAGCTGTAGTCCCACTCATTCTTTACGGGTTTGCGGTGATGCTGGTGTAAACACACCTGCTGTGCTGCTAGTGCCATAAAAGCATAGCACATACAATTATGTATGGCACACAGTAATACAGTAGATGACTGCATTACTAGTTTATGTACTTGCCGTACTATAGTTTTTCATTGTGTTTGAGTGTAGTCTTTCTGCTTATAAAATAGAGGCTTGCTGTGAAACAGTGTGCCATGTAACACCAGCAGCAGCCTCAAACGTCTGTTTATTGTGTGTCTTGATTGCATCATTGTCTCTTGTACTTGATTTAATCTCACATTGTTCTATAAATTTAGTGTGGCGAAAGTGTGCAGTGTTTATGTGAAGTCTATGGTAGTGTGCAGTAACGTCATAGGCGTTCACATTCACTCACCACTCCCTCGCTGACCCACCCAAAGCAACTTCCAGTTCTGCAAGCTCTATTTGTGGTAAGTGCCCTACATGTGTGTGCCATATTTTATCTTTTATACTATATTTTTATACTGCTTTTTCTATGTTTAGATGTATGTAGATAAATAAACTACAGTTGCCTACAGCATTCAGTACGGAGATATGCTGTACAGATTTGTAGCATAGGAGCAAGAGGCTCTACACCATTCAGCCTAGGTGTGTAGTGGGCTGTACCATCTAGGTTTGTGTGAGTGCACTCCCTGATGTTCACGCAGTAATGAAATCGAACTTGCCCAGTCGCACATTTCTCAGAATGTGTCCCCATCATTTAGTAAAGCATGACTGTGCTCTATTTAACTAACGTACAATTATTACTTCTCTCATTGTGGGAGGAAAATATTTTATTCCTTTGTTAAAAAATTCCCAGCATCAGATGCCAAATGGGAAAGTTTTGGAGCAGAAGAACCCTTGAAATCACATTATGGCACTGGTTTTCTTCCGGCAAGCCACCTTCGGTCCGTCGGGGACGATGCTCTGGGGCCGGGATGCAGCTGCTGAGTGCCCACTATCTGAAGCACTAGGATAGTAGGGTAGGGAGTGTCTAAAGGACTTGAAGCCCGCTCAGTTCTGTCTTTGATTCAGCAGGGAGCCTTCTTCCCCCATCCTGTCCTTTTCTCACTGTTTTTCCTTTCTGCCAGAGAAGCCTTCACCTTCTCTGTCTTTAAACTATGTCTTTCCATTCTCTTACATACTGTTTCAATAGTGTATCCAGTATCCATTCAGTGTTATTTTTAGCACTTCTTATTGCTGTTAGTTTCATGAATAATTAATGGTTCTTATGATAACCTTCTTGCGTAATCATCAGTACAGTTTGAAGCATCTCCTATTATTTTCATCTTTGTTAATAACTTGCCTGGTGAGAATATTGGCATGCACTTTTGGTTCATTCATGCCTGACTGTTCCCACAGGAGTTGCGTGTGCTCCTTGCTCTCCAGTTCAGCATACAGGTGTCTTTAGTAGAGTATTTGGAAGGATGCTTATATATGAAGACCTTAAGAGGATGACTTCAGTTTCAAATATACGTAAGATACTTAACATTTTAACATGAGTTATTGCATTTCATATTCACATCCACTCTGAGAAAGTGGATGACAGTTTAAGTAGATTGACGTAGACCTGAGTTTAAGTCCTGATGCTGTGAAATGCTGTGTGATAATTGGGCAGTCCTACCTTTTCTGTAAAATGAGGGACCATTTGTAAAAATCTCATCACTAGGATTATTTGTTTATTTTGTTACAAGACACATGGACGTGGGTGAGTAATATCCGAGAATATTTCATACTGGTGAGGTGGGTTTTAGTTCGTGTTGTGTGACTCAAAAATTGTCACCCTTTTCCTCAAGTGTCATCCTGTGAACTTTGTTCTTCAACAGGGGCCAGTCTTAAAGTTTGAGTTGTGACGTCATAGGCCAGTTTTCCTTATGAATCTTCTCCTTTTATGTTTCAAAGACACATTTCAAAATGGCTTTCTCATAAAATTTCCCCTTTGCCTTCTCTTTCTTTATACTTTCGAATTCAAAGAACGATCTTTAAGTAGAGCTTTGACCTTGAAAAATAGAAAAACACTCTCTTTGCCTCAGCTCCACTCCCCCCTCAAAAGAAGATAAAGAAAAAAAGAATAGACAGAAATAGAATTGTACTCATTAAATTGAATGACTGGGCGGGGAGAATCTATCAAGTTCTGTACTCCACCCTGCCCTTCAGCTTTGGGCCGTCTTTCCTTTCTTATCGCTGCCTCCGTCCCCCGATTGCCTCCAGGTAGGATCAGCCAGCCTTTCCCTTTGCCTCCAGGACACCGTTTCTTGAATGTGTATGTCTGCATCTTTTAAAGGAAAGAAAAATGTAGTGGATCCTAATATAGATTTAATTATTTATTATGGTAACTTAGTAAGTATACACAGCATGAAACTGTAATTCCGTTGCTTATTCATACAATCTTATTCAAAGGGAATCGGTTTACAAATTAAATGTAAACAATACTGTGAAATCAATAACAAGTTTTTCAGCGACATTTCGTTAATCTAATGGATGATGTTTTGCTGAAACAAAATTTCCTGTCATATGAAGACTGCTGATCATATCTTATTTGTTGATGATTCATTTTCTCACTGTTTTTCTTGATTGAAACTTAAGTGCTTTGAAATCTTCTTGCCCTGAGGGTGGCCTTCTATCCATTGCAAACCTTACTCATTTATTGGTCATATTGCCTATGTTCTTAAAGCCTCATTCTTGGCACGAGTGACCCGTGACACAACAAGAAGGGCACCTAGTTTGAGGGGTAGGTTGCTCATAAGTTGATGGATAATTTGCAGTTAATTGATACATTAAAAAGAGGCGAGCACAGGATTTCTCAAAGGTGTCCACCTTCAGGGTCCACAGACCTCAGTTTATAAAGTACACTGCTATGGTGCTCTTGTAATCTGGGGCGAAGTAGTGTATATAGTAAAAGAAAACCCCCAATGTAAAGGCTACGTGGAAATATCTTAGGAAAGGAGAGGTAGGTACTCCTGCCTTCCATTTGCCGTGTTTCCCAAACTCGCCTTTAGCCAGGTATCACTTCTTCCTTCCCTCTAATCCAGTCTCTGTTTTGTATGCATGTTCAGGGCCCACTATGCTACCAGTTTTGGGTGGCACAGGGAAGGAATTACATACAAGGTAAAAGAACAAAAACAAATG